CCTACGTACCCAGCCGTGGCAGCCCCTAGGGCTGAGCAACTTTATCTGATTCACTGAAATCACTATCATTTCTGCCATTCACCTGCTCCCTCAGCCTCAGATGCCGTGATTGAATTTTGCCTGTGTTTTTCCTGCCTGCTTTCCTTCCTTCAACCAATGTTTGTTGAGCAACTACTGTGAATCAGGTGCTGGGGCTACAGGGGTGAAGAGAACCAGCAGAAAACCCTGCACCCTGGAAGCTCACATTCTAAAGGAGGAAGTAAAGTATAAATGATCAGGGTCTGTCTTGGTGATCTGGCTAAGACTGCTCTCCCAATGCAGGAGGCCTGGGTTTGATTCCTGGTCAGGGAACTAGATACACATACCACAACTAAGACCCAGAACAGAAAAATAGATAAACAGATATTTTTAAAAAAAAGAAGAAGAAGAAGAAATGATTAAACATCTGTCCATAGAGTAGGTCACGATGTCCGAGTGCTCTGAAGGGAAATAAAACGGAGAGTTCTCTGGTGGCCTAGTGGTTAGGACTCCAGGATTTCACTGCCGTGGGCTGGGTTCAGTTCCTCGTCAGGGAACCGAGATCTCACAAAGTTGCATGGTGTGGCCAAAAAAGAAAGAAAAGAAAGCAGGGAAAAGGGATGGGAGGAGGGGGCTGAGGATGCTGGTTTTGACAAGGTGGTCCAAGAGGAACCGAAAGGGTGAGATTAGAGAAGAGACCTGAAGGAGGGCAGGGATGGAGCCATGCAGATCCCTGGGGGCAGCCTCCCAGGGAGAATAAGCAGGCAAATGTGAGAGGGTAACCTGATATATTTGAGGCCAGCCTCCCACGTGGCGCTAGTGGTAAAGAACTCGCCTGCCAATTCAGGAGATAGAAGAGGCATGGGTTTGATCCCTGGGTCAGGAAGATCCGCTGGAGGAGGGCATGGCAACCCACTCCAGTATTCTTGTCAGAGAATCCCACGGACAGAGGAGCCTGGCGGGCTATGGCCCATAGCATCGCAGAGTCAGACACGACTGAAGGGACTCAGCATGCGTGCACACACGGGGCTGGAGCAGAGTGGGCAAGGGGTGAGTGGTGGGAGCTGAGGACAGGGAGGTGATGGCGGTAGGTTGAGTGGGGTGGGCCATGGGGAGGGCTCTGGCTCCCCAACTCCAGTGACCACAGACTATGGGATGGGGATGGTGGGGTGGGGAAGTGGGGGAGACCAGGCGGGAGGTGGGGGACAAGGGATAGGACAAGGGTGGGAGGAAAAAACAAATTCTAGATAGATTTTAAAAGTCAAGGCCAAGGGATTTCCCTGTTGGTCCAGTGGTGAAGATGCCATGCTTCCAACGTGGGGGAAGGCATGGGTTCAACCCCTGGTCGGGGAACTAAGATCCCACACGTTGATCAGTCAGGAAAAAAAAAAAAGCCAACAGCATTTACTACCTAATTAAACCTGGGATGAGAGGAAAAGAGGAGTCAGGGACAACACCAAGGCTTTCAACCTCATTTAATCCCAAGGACACCCCACAAAGTATGATCACCCTTTTGTTACAGGTGAAGAAATAGAGGTTCAGAGAGGGCTGGCGATTCCACACCCCACAGGATGTGGCAGAACAGAGATTCAAACCCGCTTTCTGCCTGGTGGTCAGTCCAAGCCAACAGAACATGCCAGACCCGCACGGACATCAGCTCAGTCTTTGGCCACAGCGTGCAATGGATGACTCCCCCACTGGTCACCTGATGGGCCTGGTGCATCTGTCTGTTCTCTTGCTGCTTTGTCACCTGCATTGTGTAATCACATTTCCCTGCGGCCCTCAGGCTCCCGAAGGATCTTACTGGGCTGATTCATCTCTGTCTCTGGGATTGCCTGGCTGGAGTCTGACACGTGACAGCCTTCATTAAGGCACAAGTATTTATTAACCTCAAGAATCTATCTAGTGCTGGGCTGTGCTGGAGTGAGCCCTGAGCATCACCCTCGTGGGGTTGACCATCCAGGGGGGGAGACAGACCCACCCCCAGACTGACAGTCCAGATGGGACAGGGCCCGACCCCTGAGAAGGGGTCTGGTGAGTGTGGAGGTAAGGGACCCATGAATGAATAAGACGGCCTTGGTCTCCACCCTCATAGACCGCCCCCAGCCCAGCGAGGCAAACTGACAATGAACAAGGTAACCAATCAATCGATGAGAGAATGGCAGAATGCCAAGAGTTGGACATGAAGTAAAACAGGATGAGACAGAGAGTGACCGTGACCCCTTTAGTTGGGGTTGTCGGGGAAGGCCGACCCCTGAGGCTGAGCGGATGCAGCCCCGAATGAGCGGAGGGAGGGCACTCACAGGATGAAGAGCCAGTGCGCAGGGCCGAGGGCCGACAGTGAGAGAGAGCTTGCTGTGCTCAAGAAAGTGCAAGGAGGGGATTCCCTGGCCGTCCAGGGGTTGAGACTCCATACTTCCACTGCCCAGGGTGCGGGTTTTATCCCTGGTCAGGGAACTAAGGCCTTCCCTGGTGGCTCAACAATAAATAATCCACCTGCCAATACAGGAGATATGGGTTCAATCCCTGGGTTGGGAAGATCCCCTGGAAAGGAAATGGCAACCCACTCCAGTATCCTTGCCTGGGAAATTCCATGGACAGAAGAGCCTGGCGGACTAGTCCATGGGGTTGCAAAAGAGTCAGACACGACTTAGCAACTAAACAATAACAGGGAACTAAGATCCCACAAGCCATGCAGCCAACAAGTAAAAACTAAAATAAAGATAAATAAATAAATAGAGCCAAGATATTAAAAAAAAAAAAAAGACTGCAAAGAACCTTGGGCAGAGTGGGTGCTGGGTGGGAAAAAGATCTGAGGAGGCTGAAACTGCAGAACACAATGGACGAACCGATGTGCCATCAGCCTGCAGAGCTAGGAACTCACTGGCTTCACTCAGGAGAGCCCTCATCCTTGAGGCCAGAGCCCAGCCTTTGCCTAGGACTTCTGGAGTCAGATCCTGCCCATCACCAGCTCAGAAGCCTCCTGTGGCTCCACGTCACTCAGGATAAAAGACAGAGACCGCCCTGTGACCCACAATGTCCCATGTGATCTGCCCTTTCCACTTCTCTGTTCTCATCCCTCCTCTTCCTCTTCCTCTGGCTCCATCACCCTGACCTCTCCACTGATGCTCTGATATGTTTCTGCCCCAGGGCCTTTGCACTGGCTGTTCCTCTGCCTGGACTGCTCTGCCCATGTGACTCCTCCTTCAGATCTAAATATCACCCTCTCAGTGAGGTCTCCCTGACCATCCTCGTGAAAATTGCCGCCATCCCCTCCCACGACTTTCCATCCCCTTCCTGCCTTTGCTGTGTGCTTGATCACCATTGCCCCTGTTATGTGTTTTACTTATTTATTGTGCTTGCTATCTGACACCCTGGATAGAATTTCAGCTCCATGAGGGCAGACATCTCTGTGCTGTTCACAGCATGGAGAACAGGTCCTGGCACATAACAGGCGCTCAATAAATAATGATTGACTGCACAAAAGGTAGAAGGGAAACAGAGGGAGGGGGAAAATTTTTAAAGGGAGGAAAACCGCAGGTCCGTGAGCTCCTAAGCTTGTCAGCTGTCCCAGCTGGCAGTTTGGAGTGTCAACACTTGCCCGCTTCCAGGATAACTCGGTGGCAGACTGGGAGACTGAGGCACGGACCACACTGGCTAGCTCCTCTCGGGCTATGGGAGCCAGGCCCCTGATTGGCACAGAGGGCCGGCCTGAGAAGGTCGCCGGCGCCACCTGCTGGACAGTGGTGTCATGACAGCTGTGCCCACCCTGCTGACTTGGGGCTGGTAAGGGCCTTTGCTAGGCGGGCAGAAGGGGAGACAGCCCAGAGGGGGCCATCACCAGCAGAAGTTAGAGTCCAGGGAGACACAGCCATAAGCCTCTTTATTCCCGAGGCCCTGTGGACATTCCGCCCAGTCACTACTATGCAGGAGGGCTGGGTGGTGCCACCCATGACCTGTCTTGCTTCACTCTGTCTGTATATACACCTGCTCTCCCAGCCCGGCAGGCTGGGACCCCCAGCTCTCTGGGAGGTGAGGACTGCTCCAGCTCTCTCAGGGCCGCATCCACCCTACATGGTGCCAAGGACGACAGAAGAGTCGAGGCCCGCCCTGACTCCCCTCTCGGGCCTGGCAGTAAGGTCCGGGGTTCCTGCTGAGAGCTGTCTCCATTCCTAGAGGTACATCATCCGGCCAAGCAGAGGTCTTACCACCCAGACGTCGTCCACAATCTTCCCATCCTGCAAGGGACAAAAAAAAAAAAAAGGAGGAGGAAATGAGAGCTGAAAGCCCAGATTGTGGGGCCAAGTGGCCTGGGTTCAAATCCCAGCTCTGTCGCTGATAAGCTGTGTGACCTTGAACAAGTGGCTAGACCTCTCTGAGCCTCAGTTTTCCTCATCTGGAAAGTGAGGATGATAGTACTAGTATACACATCATAGATATCGTGAGAATTAAGTGAGGTATTTGGAAAAGGCTTAAAAGGGAGCCTGGCACATGGCAAGGGCTGGGTAAGTGTAGGCTGTTACTATTAGAGCACAAACCCCAGAAGGAGACAGAATTCACTTTATATTCCAGCAAAGCCACCCTCTGTGGCCTCCAGCACATGATCCAACTCTGAGCCTGACTTCCATATTCTATTGGGTTTGGGTTGGCCAGAAAGTTCATTTGTGGTTTTCATTAAGATGTTTAGAAAAAGCCCAAATGAACTTTTTGGCCAACCCAATAAAAAGTGGGGAGAACGGAATAGATAATACACACAAGCGCCTGCCCCTGAGCTCAATAAATAATGATTGACTGCACAAAAGGTAGAAGGGAAACAGAGGGAGGGGGAAAATTTTTAAAGGGAGGAAAACCGCAGGTCCGTGAGCTCCTAAGCTTGTCAGCTCTCCCAGCTGGCAGTTTGGAGTGTCAACACTTGCCCGCTTCCAGGATAACTCGGTGGCCGACTGGGAGACTGAGGCACGGACCACACTGGCTAGCTCCTCTCGGGCTATGGGAGCCAGGCCCCTGATTGGCACAGAGGGCCGGCCTGAGAAGGTCGCCGGCGCCACCTGCTGGACAGTGGTGTCATGACAGCTGTGCCCACCCTGCTGACTTGGGGCTGGTAAGGGCCTTTGCTAGGCGGGCAGAAGGGGAGACAGCCCAGAGGGGGCCATCACCAGCAGAAGTTAGAGTCCAGGGAGACACAGCCATAAGCCTCTTTATTCCCGAGGCCCTGTGGACATTCCGCCCAGTCACTACTATGCAGGAGGGCTGGGTGGTGCCACCCATGACCTGTCTTGCTTCACTCTGTCTGTATATACACCTGCTCTCCCAGCCCGGCAGGCTGGGACCCCCAGCTCTCTGGGAGGTGAGGACTGCTCCAGCTCTCTCAGGGCCGCATCCACCCTACATGGTGCCAAGGACGACAGAAGAGTCGAGGCCCGCCCTGACTCCCCTCTCGGGCCTGGCAGTAAGGTCCGGGGTTCCTGCTGAGAGCTGTCTCCATTCCTAGAGGTACATCATCCGGCCAAGCAGAGGTCTTACCACCCAGACGTCGTCCACAATCTTCCCATCCTGCAAGGGACAAAAAAAAAAAAAAGGAGGAGGAAATGAGAGCTGAAAGCCCAGATTGTGGGGCCAAGTGGCCTGGGTTCAAATCCCAGCTCTGTCGCTGATAAGCTGTGTGACCTTGAACAAGTGGCTAGACCTCTCTGAGCCTCAGTTTTCCTCATCTGGAAAGTGAGGATGATAGTACTAGTATACACATCATAGATATCGTGAGAATTAAGTGAGGTATTTGGAAAAGGCTTAAAAGGGAGCCTGGCACATGGCAAGGGCTGGGTAAGTGTAGGCTGTTACTATTAGAGCACAAACCCCAGAAGGAGACAGAATTCACTTTATATTCCAGCAAAGCCACCCTCTGTGGCCTCCAGCACATGATCCAACTCTGAGCCTGACTTCCATATTCTTTTGGGTTTGGGTTGGCCAGAAAGTTCATTTGTGGTTTTCATTAAGATGTTTAGAAAAAGCCCAAATGAACTTTTTGGCCAACCCAATAAAAAGTGGGGAGAACGGAATAGATAATACACACAAGCGCCTGCCCCTGAATGGGCCAAACAATAAATGGTAGCTATTTATCGCAAAAAGAATATGGGCTTTGTGGTCGTATCTCAGCTCTGCAACCTCTGGCTGTGCAACCCTGGGAAAATTACTTGCCCTCTCTGAGCCTCTGTTCTCTTAGCTGTAAAATGGAAAGAAAATTTGCCCCATAGTATTATTGTGGTGATTAAAGGAACTAAATATAAGGCATTGAGCTCAGGGTTTGGTGCACAATAGATGTTCAATCAACATGCTATTTTAAAACTACAATGGCAAAAATACAGAAAGGTGAGCCATGATTATATGGGTCTACCTAAGCTTAAGCCATGGGGCTTCCTAGGTGGCACAAGTGGTAAAGTTTTCACTTGCTAATGCAGGAAGCACAAGAAACTCGGGTTTGATCCCTGGGTCGGGAAGGTCCCCTGAAGTAGGAAATGGCAACCTACTCCAGTATTCTTGCCTGGGAAACCCCATGGACAGAGGAGCCTGGCGGGCTACAGTCTGTGGGGTTGCACACACATCATATTGGTTTCCCTCTGCCTGCCTCCCACCACCTACTTTTTTCTTCCCCTTCTTCATGTTGATAAATCCCTTTAGAACTGACCATGTTTTAGAAACCATTCTGAGCACTTTCTCTATAATAAGTCATTCAACCCTCATTCAATCCTCTGGGGCAGAAACTACTAACATCCCCATTTTGCAGATGGGAAAATTGTGGCTCAGAGTTGCTTGAGGTTATCCAGATGGTAAGTAGCAGAGGCAAGATTTGAACCCAGGGTCTCCAGCTCTCAAGTCCACTTTTTAAACCACTTGACTCCAGAATGCACTGGGCCTGCTTTCTCAAGCAGGTGATCGGGCCACTGCTCACTGACCTGGTCATCAGACACCTGCTGGATGTGGACATGGGTCCCATTGAGGATGTGCAGCCGTGTGTACCCGTACTCTTTCACACGCAGGGCACTCCAGGGCCGCGGGAAGAGGGTGAAGGGGGTGAGCAGCTCCTCACAGCCCTGCTGGAAAGAGTCATTTAGCCCCAGGGCTGGGGCAGGTGAAGTACACACCGGGGAGCAGAAAAGACCTGCCAGATGGGATCCTGCCACCCCCAGGGAAGACAAAGCTGGTTAAGACTTGACCTTGGTAACGCACACAATTGAGTGTTTTGACCCAGCCAGGCTTTCTGTGTCCCGAATCTTGGACTTAGACAACAGTGCATGGTTGCATAAGACTGTCCACTGAAGCATTTTCTGTAAAAGCTCTGAGCTGGAAGTCAGCCAAATGCTCATCAGTAAGGGTCAGTTAAATAAATTAGAGCATAGCCATCACAGAGAGGGGCAGTATAGAAAGATGGCCGAGATGTATTGTTAACAGGAAAATGCAATTCACAGGACAGAAGAAATCGGTGGCTTTCAACCCTCGCTGCAGACTAGACCCTCCAAGAAAGCTTTTAAAATCATCATTGCCTGGAAGAGAGGAAGTGTTTATCCTTGCAGTAGAAAACTAGGTGATGTTAGCAGGAAGGATGAGGGAGCTTAAAAAAAAAAAAAAAGAAAGTCACCATGTTGCAGCCATCTCTGTAGTAACTGATGGAAGCAAGAACCATTAATGGATGGTCAAAGTAGCGGCAAAGGTATGAGGAATAGCAGGATATTTGCATAGTCTCCAAGTAGCTCCGGGAGACACTTGTTAACTTTAAAGGTGAAAATCATAAGTATGGTGCAAGAGATGTGTAAACTGAGGCTTAAAGAGATACCATGCACTTCCTCATAGGATACACTGAAAAAAACACAGTATTGGGGACTTCCCTGCTGGTCCAGTGGTTAGGAATCTGCCTGGCAATGCAGTGGATGCACGCTCAATCCCTGGTCAGGGAGCTAAGACCCCCCCCATGCTGCAAAGCAACTGAGCCCACACATCACAACTAGAGACAGCATGTAACAAAAGATCCTGCATGATGCAACGAAGGTCTGACTGCAGCAACTAAGAGCTGACGAGGCCAAATAAGTAAATATTAAAACACACACACACGGGCAAAACCAGTATCACTTTTGTGTGTTCTTATCAAAAATGTGTAACTTCAATCTAATTAAACCCACACTGAGAGTCTACCAAACAACGTTGCTGTGCTCTTCAAATTTTTCAAAGTCTTGAAGAATGCAGAAAGAAGGGGAGATGTTTCTGATTAAAGGAGGGGAGAGAAACAAGACACAAAAATAGAACGTATGATCTTAAACTAGATCCTGGACCAGGAAAAAAAAATCTTTAAAGGACATGTATAGGACAATTGGCTAAATTTGAATGAGACTGGATGACGGTATATTATCAATTGTTAACTACTTGAATCTATTATACTGTACTGATGTAAGAGAATGTCCTCATTTTGTTTAGGAAACACAGATGGAAGGATAAAGGGGCATCATTTCTGCAACTGAACTCTTCATTGGATCTGAAAATGATAGTAAAATTGTACACACACATACACACACACGCGTGTGCACACACATATCGATAGAGAGACAGAGACAGAAGTAGAGATTGAAACAAGCATAGTTAAATGTTCACAATGCCAAGGCCGAGCCCTCAGCTTCTGGTGTTTGTCCTGGGGTTGGGCCAGGGCATCAAAGATTTAAAACCTCCCGAGGTAATTCTAACATGCATCAAGGCCGAGAACTGCTAGGGTATGAAGGATGATCCAAGATGTTTTTAAAAAGTGGGTGATGGGACTTCCCTGGTGGTCCAATGCTTAAGAATTTGCCTCCCGTTGCAGGGATGTGGGTTCGATCCCTGGTCAGGGAACTAAAAATCCCACATACTGTGGAGCAACTAAGCCCATCTGACATGACTAGGGAAGCCTAGGCACTGCAACCAGAGAAAGCTTTCATGCTGCAATGCTGAGCAACACCACCCCGCCCCAGGCACTGCAACAAAAATCCAGTGTAACCAAAAAAAATGAAAAGTGGGTGATGTAGTAATACACCCCTATTGAGATACTGACTAATTTGCATACACAGAAAATATTCTCAAATGCTACCCAAGAGACGTAATCATTGAGAGTGGGACTTGGCGGTGAAGAACTTGCCTGCCACGGCAAGAGACATAAGAGACATGGCTTCCGTCCTTGGGTCTGGAAGATTCCCCTGGAGGAGGACACCCACTCCAGTATTCTTGCCTGGAGAATCCCTGTGGACAGAGGAGCCTGGCAGGCCACAGTCCACGGGGTCACAAAGAGTTGGACACGACTGAAATGACTTAGCAAGAAGGATATGAATGGTTTCATCTCCTGTCTTCTGTACTGTCTGAACTTTTATCACGAGAAGTTCTTCCTTGGATCACTAATTCATTGTTGCTTAGTCACCCAGTCGTGTCCAACTTTCTACAACCCCATGAAATGCAGCACGCCAGGTCTCCCTGTCCCTCACCATCTCCCGAAGTTTGCCCAAGTTCATGTCCATTGCATTGCTGATGCCATACAGCTATCTCATCCTCTGATGCCCTCCTCACCTTCTGCCCTCAATCTTTCTCAGCATCAGGGACTTTTCCAATGAGTCGGCTGTTGGCATCAGATGACCAAAATACTGGAACTTCAGCTTCAGCATCAGTCCTTCCAACGAGTATTCAGGGCTGATTTCCCTTAAGATTGACAGGTTTGATCTCCTTGCAGTCCAGGGGACAACTCTCAGGAATCTTCTCCAGGACCACAGTTCGAAGGCATCAATTCTCTGGTGCTCCATCTTCCTTATGGTCCAACTCTCACAGCCACATGTGGCCACTGGGAAGACCACTAATTTGTAAAATCAGCTTAAAAAATAAGCCCTCACTTCTTGCGGAAGTGATTGATTCCAAGGCTGCTGGGGGTGGGAGTGGAGGGGATGCAAGATGGTCCTGGAGCATCTTGTGGTACCAAAAAGTAAGAAAGAGCCCACAAAACGACAGGGACTTTGAAAGGATGCGGGACCTGATCTGAAGAGCTCCCAGCGGCCAGAGTGAGAGTGTGTACACAGGAGCATCAGTATCAGGAGAACTGGATTATGACCCCCAGGAGGAAATAACTCCCCATGAGTCCACACTGGTGCGAATCCATAACTAACCAACCAACTAAATGGGGCAGAAGGGACAACTCTTCCCCACAGGAGGTTGCTAATTAATAAATCAGGGAGGAATGAGGGAAATAGACGATTCCCAGCCGAATGCCCCAGTGATCACTGTTACAGGCAAGACCCACTGATGGATTCAAATATTAGTACGTGGAGACTTCCCTGGTGGTCCAGTAGCTAAGACTCTGAGCTCCCAGTGCAGGGATCCTGAGTTTGATCCCTGGTCAGGGAACTGGATTCACATGCCACAACCAAGAGCTCAAATGCCGCAACTAGAAATTCCAAGTGCTACAACTAAAAAAGAAAAAGAAAAGAAAGATTCTATGTGCCACGATTAAGACCTGGCACAGTCAAACAAATTTAAAAAAGAAAACAGTGGGTGAAAGTTGGAGGAGAAACAACTTTTGCAGGGTCTAAAAGAACCCAAGATGTTTATTAGCCAAAAAGGGAAATACAGCAACTTGATGGTGGAAGAACATCCTTAGACAGGTGATTCAGAGAAACTCCTCCAGGAATGAGACACTGTGAGGACCTGGACCCCTCGCTATGATGTGCTGAGGACACAACATCACTTGTGATTGTCTGGCCCCAAATGCACAACCTGCATCTCAGCATGAGAAAGTATCAGACAAACCCAGATCTAGGGGCATTTGGGGAAAACAAAACAAAGACAAACAACTGGCCAGAATGAAAGACAGGGGAAGATGGAGGAATAGTTACAGATGGGAGGAGACTAAGGAGAGACAATGGAGAAGGAAATGGCAACCCATTCTAGTATTCTTGCCTGGAAAATTTCACTGACAGAGGAGCCTGGTGGGCTACCGTCCATGGGGTCACAAAGAGTTGGCTGCGACTGAGCCACAAGGAGACACAATAACCAGATACAGTGGGGAATGACCTGGTGCAATGTGAATAAAGTCTGGAGTCCAGTTATAAGAATAATAATAAGCCCTCTGCCCTGGATCCGACCAGCAGACCTGGGCAAGCATCCCCTGCCCCGCCACTTACTGAACCTGTGACTTCGAAGGAGTATTTTACTCTTAGCTTCTGTTTCTGCATCTGTGCCATGGGCACACTACTAGGTACATCTAACCCTATAAGAGATACCAGCTGTATAAAGGAGGAGGCACCCAAGCTGGTACAGGTGCCACCCTCAATAGATCAGAGGTCAAAGGCGACATCCCACCCCGCCCCACCCCACCCTGCTCACGGCGGATCCTGTGATGATGTGGACAGGGCCTCGAGGGTGGGTGTAGGGCATCTCCTGGCTGCCATTAAGTACCTGGAGAAGTGACAAGGTGGAGGGGGTGCGTCACACTGGCCAGCCCCCCAGGGATCTGACTGAGGGGTCCACTGACACCACCAGCTCCATGGGTCTCAGCTCTCCCCGGGGGCCTCCCTCACCTGGTAGTTGTAAATTGGCCACAGGCGTTCATACGAGTGCTCATGGGCCCACAGCTGCAGGTCGACCCCTGAGACAAAGCAAGACGGGTTCAGGCCTCTGAATCCAGGAGAGAAGGGAGGCAGGGCCTGGAGAGTCCTGGGGTGGAAGGGGGTGTCACTCACCATATTTGTAAAAAAGATCCTCCAGCCCGTAGAACTTGCCACGGAGGCCTTTGCGAACCTAAGCGAGATGAGCAAGGAGGGAAGGGGTGACTCAGGCCAGCCCCCCACCTGGATCTCAGCACCTGGCTCCCGGGGAGGGGGTGCTCACCTTGCTTTCATGCCAGGTACAGTCATCCAAATCAGCATTGGAGCAGTACATGGGCCGGTGGCCCATGGTGATGATCCACGGCCGGACCGCCCGGTTCTCATTGGCTTTCTGCAGAGAAGGGCTCAGAGTGAGGGGCAGGGGGCGGTAGTGGAGGAGGAGGTGGGGAGACACATCCCAGGGGACATCCAAAGGTTACCTGGAGGTCACTCTCCAGCCAGTGAAACTGTCTCTCTACCAAGTGGCGGCCGTAATGGAGGAAGAAATATACCTCGGTGGAGAAGGAGATGATGTGTGCGGGTCCTAGATCCCAGCTGGAAGGGTCAAAGGGCAGGGGTCAGAGGTGAGGGTCTCCTCTGCATCCTCCATCCTTCGGGGGAGGGAGGCCGGTGTCCCCGCTCCCCCCCCCCAGATTACCTGTACCACAGGCCTTCGGTGTTTCCTGGCATGCTAAAGCGAGCTTTGTAGTTGGAGAAGTTGCTGGATAAAAGGAAGTAAAAGGGTAGGAGGGAAGGTCTGGGTGCCCACCCGCCACCCCCACCACTTCCCACCACCAGGCCAAGCCTGGCTCCCAGCCCAGCCCTCATCTCCTCTCCTCTCACGTCCATCAACGAGCTGCTGCAGCGTGAGAGACTAAGGTGAGATGCTAGGAAGGACTGGTTTTGTTGGCCAGGCCCTCGCCCACCCCAAAGCCCTCGGGCCTCACTAGCGTTCCTCATGATTCCCAGGGCAGGTCATGTAGGGCAGGCTGGCAGCCACGGGTTCAGCAGAGAAGGGCTCAGAGTGAGGGGCAGGGGGCGGTAGTGGAGGAGGAGGTGGGGAGACACATCCCAGGGGACATCCAAAGGTTACCTGGAGGTCACTCTCCAGCCAGTGAAACTGTCTCTCTACCAAGTGGCGGCCGTAATGGAGGAAGAAATATACCTCGGTGGAGAAGGAGATGATGTGTGCGGGTCCTAGATCCCAGCTGGAAGGGTCAAAGGGCAGGGGTCAGAGGTGAGGGTCTCCTCTGCATCCTCCATCCTTCGGGGGAGGGAGGCCGGTGTCCCCGCTCCCCCCCCCCAGATTACCTGTACCACAGGCCTTCGGTGTTTCCTGGCATGCTAAAGCGAGCTTTGTAGTTGGAGAAGTTGCTGGATAAAAGGAAGTAAAAGGGTAGGAGGGAAGGTCTGGGTGCCCACCCGCCACCCCCACCACTTCCCACCACCAGGCCAAGCCTGGCTCCCAGCCCAGCCCTCATCTCCTCTCCTCTCACGTCCATCAACGAGCTGCTGCAGCGTGAGAGACTAAGGTGAGACGCTAGGAAGGAAGGTCTGGGTGCCCACCCGCCACCCCCACCACTTCCCACCACCAGGCCAAGCCTGGTTCCCAGCCCAGCCCTCATCTCCTCTCCTCTCACATCCATCAACGAGCTGCTGCAGCGTGAGAGACTAAGGTGAGACGCTAGGAAGGACTGGTTTTGTTGGCCAGGCCCTCGCCCACCCCAAAGCCCTCGGGCCTCACTAGCGTTCCTCGTGATTCCCAGGGCAGGTCATGTAGGGCAGGCTGGCAGCCACGGGTTCGATGAGTTTCATGAACCTGTCCCCGACACGCCCATTGTCCTGATCCAAGTTGTAGGCGAAGTCTCCTGGGTGGGGGTGGGGAGGTGGGCGGTGGAGGAGAGGATGAGGACCCAGACCCAGCTCTGCTGTTGCCAGAACTGAGACCTGGTTGATCAAGCCCTGGCTCCCCCTCCCGCTCAGGCATCTTCAATCCCTGCCTCACACCCAAGTGCAGGTGCACTTGGAACCGTCTCCTTCGCCTCTGGTCCCTGACTTGCCAGCAGGGCCTAGGACCTCGCTGGTCTCCTGTGCCCCAGCACCCCAGCCCCCATCTCGTCCCTTCCCAGAGTAATGACAACATTGAGACTGACAAGGTCTGCTCTGGCACTGGATTTGTACCAGGCAGGGTTTCCCAAATGCTTTACATGCTTGATCACCCGAATCTTCAAAACACCCTCTGAGGTGCATGTCATTATCATCCCCTTTTCAAATGGGGAAACCGAGGCCCAGGAGGGTAGAGAGCTGACTCAAGATCACAGAGCTGAGCTTAAGGATCCAGGAATCAAACCTCAGAAGTCTGATTCCTGCGCCTACTACAGCTTTGAATCATAGCCCCAGTTTCCATCTCCCATCTGGTTCCTGGCTCTCAGCTCACAGCAGAAATGATCATGACAACCAACACTTCCGTAGTACCCACAGCGTGCCAGGCAATGCCGACTTATTCATCATGGTGCGTGTGTGCCAAGTCTCTTCGGTCGTGTTCAACTCTTTGTGACCCGTGGACTGTAGCCCGCCAGGCTCCTCTGTCCATGGGATTCTCCAGGCAAGAATACTGGAGTGGGTTGCCATGCCCTTCTCCAGGGGAATCTTCCTGACCCAGGGATCGAACCCGAGTCTCTGACATCTCCTGCATTGGCAGGCAGGTTCTTTACCACTAGCGCCCCCTGGGAAGTCCATATCGTCATCACAACAGTCGGACGAATCTAACCTAGTCCCAGTTCTTACAGCAATAACACAGGGGAGAAAACCAATGCACGTAGCTCTAAGTGCCAGATCGACTTTAACCCGGGAGCCTGGTTAACCACGACGTCATCTCCATGGCCAGTCTCCTCCCCCGTCCCTTTGGAGCCCCTCGCAGTCCTGGCGTACATCCCACCCCATACCTAGCCGATGCCTCCTCACCCACATGAAGAACAGCGTCGTACATGCCCTGCTGGGTGTCCCGGCGCAGTCGGGGGAGGGCCCTCGGATTGTCGGCCCCCAGGTCCCCAAACACAGCCAGGCGCGGGCTCCAGTGGGGCCCCTTCTTCAAGGCCCTGAAGCGGAAGCGACGGCTCCAGCCCTGAGCGCTGCCGCAGCGGTAAACTGAGCGGAGAGGAAAGGGTCACGGTCTGCCGAGGCTGGGGGGTCGGGAGAGCGCCCCAGGGTGTCTTCTCCACCCCCATCCATCTTCAACTGGTGGGGGGACTGAATGGTCTAACCCACGCCCCTTCTGACCACCTCACCCCAGGTCTCCAGCCTTCCATTTGCATCCCAGGGTCTCATAGAATAGGCTTGCAGGTAAGCAGAGAGGGTACCAGCTCGCCTGAGTAGCTGTTAGCCCACAGCCCACTGCTCCTCCCATTCGCCCTTCAACGCCTGGGCCCCAGGGCCCCTCTCACCATACTGGACCCCTGGCAGCAGGCCCCGCAGGGTGACTCGGTGTATGTAGAGCTTCCGCCGGAGAATGCCCCCATCCACAAAGGGGCTGAAGGTGCCCCGAGCCTGGAAGGGCAGGGGCCCGGAAGGCTGCAGCCCATACTGCACTTCAGAGGGCACTGGGACCCACGTGGTCCAGGTTACAGTCATGGAGCCTGGCTCACCTGGAGAGAGAGGCAAAGGAGGTAGGCAGTGAGGCTTGGGCGGAGGTGGGGAGGGATGTGCAGAGAGTGAGAGGCTCTTGAACATTTAGGAGTTAAGGACACAGGTTCTGGAGCTTCCCAAGTTCAATCCCTACTTCACCATTTCCAAGCTGTGCTTTCCTTCGGCAAGTTCCTGCAGCTCTCTGAGCCTCAGTTTCCTTGTTGGTAAAAATGGAATAATAATAGTATCTTCCCTATAGGGTTCTTTGAGGCTTAGATGAATAAATAAGAGGAGAGCACTTGAAAGAGTGTCTGGTACTGTCAGGGTTACATGAGTGGATGGATATTATTATAAATGGTGTTACTTACTGTGTGCAGGCTTGTGCCACATACTTTACACATGACACTGTTTAGGGGTTGTAAACTCAGATGTCTGGAGGCCAGTTAGGTAATATATGTGGGAACAGGGGCCAGCTGTGAGGAGGAAGGCAGCAGGGAGAGATGGAGTCTGTGGGAGAGCGTAGAGCCTGCCCTGTCTTGAGCGGAAGCCACTGTTCAGCTCTGGAGGTGGCCGCCGTGCATAAAGCAGGCTCGGTACCAGCCAGTCTGTCAACTTCTAGAGCAAATCTTTATACGGTGGTTTTCATATCCCAAGAGCACATACAAACTTTTAAGTAATAGCTTCTAATTCTTGAATGTCAGCAACCAGGGACTTCCCTCGCAGTCCAGTGGTTAAAACTCCTGCTTCCAATGCAGGGGCATGGGTTGGAGGGTTCGATCCCTGGTGAGGGAACTAAGATTTCTCATGCCACAAGGCACAATCAAAAAAGTCAATTTGCAAACAGACAAAACCCATCAGCCACAAAATCAAGGTTTTAAAAATACCATGTGGTATGTGTGCACACGTGCTAAGTCGCTTCAGTCGTGTCTAACTCATTATGACCCTACGGACTGTAGCCCACCAGGCTCCCATGGGGTTCTCCAGGCAAGAATACTGGAGTGGGTTGCCATGCCCTTCTCTAGGGGATTTTCCCGACCCAGGGATTGAAATGGAGTCTCTCATGTCTCCTGCGTTGGCAGGCAGGTTCTTTACCATCAGTGCCACCTGGGAAGCCCAACAAGTGGTTCTTTTTCCTGCAACATGTGTGCAAAAGGCACGTGCACAGGCTATTCATGGCAGCACTGTTTGTAACTGCAAAATATGGAAACCACAGACATGCCCATACATAGGAGCATGACTTAAGGAACTATGTAACGTCTGTACCAGGGAGCACTTCATAGCTATCAGAAAGGAAGAGCATGAACTCTAGGAACCAGTATAGAAGGAAGTCCAGGACACGACGCTAAAAGAAACAATGTACACAAGAGTGCACTTCATGTAAGAGTGTGTAAGAAAATGCACAAGTATCTGCTCATTTATTTGTACAAGAAGAGTACAGCAGACACTGAACAACTGTATTACTCACATGGGCTGGAATGGGGGAGGGGTAGAAAAAAGAGGGGATGGGAATGGAGTAGTTAGTCGGGATGCAGGTGTAGGATGCTTCTCGAGTCTGTCTTTTTCTTAAAACCCTGAGTCCTAGAGCTATAGTCCTATTTCATATTTCTTTCACACACCCCAAGAAATGAACAATTAAAGCCTTCCTAGGTTGTAGGTGGGCTTCCCAGGTGCTGCTAGTGTTCCCTGCCAATGCAGGAAACATAAGAGGTAAGGGTTCAACCCCTGGGTCAGGAAGATCCCCCTGGAGGAGGGCATGGCAACCCACCCCAGTATTCTTGTCTGGGAAATCCCATGGACAGAGGAACCTGGCTGGCTACAGTCCCTAGGGTTGCAATGAGTCAGGCACAACTGAAGTGACTTAGCACACACGTAGGTTGTAGGGGGAAGTCAATACGGAATAGAAACACCAACAAAGGGCTGTAAGTATATAAAAAAACAGGGACCTCCCTGGCGGTCCACTGGTTGAGAATCTGCCTTGCAACACAGGGAACTCAGGTTTCATCTCTGGTCAGGGAACTAAGACCCCACATGCCACAGAGCAACCCCTTTATGCTTACTCTGGCACTGAACAAAATGAGTAAGTCTATAGTAGATAGAGGGAGCTTGGTTTCTCAATGTTGGAAAAAGAATTTGCAAATGAGGAAAGAAGGCTAAAGTACACCCCTTGTTGGTGGACTGAAATACTGTTGGTATTAGTAAGATCTCATGGTATCTAAAATTAGTATGAAATTTAGTTTGAAGACCAAATATGGTAGGCTCTTAAGCCAGCCTGCCTGGGTTCAAATCTCAGACTGTGTGACCTGAAGTGAGGCTCTTCATTGCTTTGAGCTTCAGTTTACTGTTTTGTAAAATGGAACTAACAATAGTACCTACAGCTTAAGGTCAGTAGGAGGTTAAATGAGTTTTCCATCTGAATCACTTCTAAGAGTATATTTGTTATTATTATCATTATTGTGTAGGCCAAACAAAGGACGGCTATTATCTCACTGGGTTTTCACAGCAGCCCTGCGAGATGGGTTTTATTTTTGTTCCATTTTACAGAGGCCTCCAGGCCAAGTGCCTTGTCCAAGGTTACTTATCCAGCAAATGCCAAAGCCATTTCATTCATGTGGTTTCAGATTCTCAATGCGGCTAACCTTTAAGAAACTACCTTAGGACTTCCTGGTGATCCAGTAGTTAAGAATCCGCCAGCCAATGCAAGGGATGCGGGTTCGATCCCTGGTCCAGGAAGATTCCACATGCCATGGGGCAACCACAACTTGTGAGCCCACACCTGCCCTAGAGCCCATGTTCTGAAACAAGAGAGGAGCCTCCTCGCCGTGACTGGAGAAAAGCCTGAGCAGCAGTGGAGATCCAGCACAGCCAAATAAATAAATAAATGAGTAAATAACTAAATAAATGAAACTACCCTAAAAGTGTCAGGGATCCAAAAAAAGAAGAAAAGTCTGAGACACTGTCACAGATAGGAGAGGACATTAAAGAGACCTTAAAAGATTTAATAAGTCAATGCCAATTTTCTTACTATATTGCTCTTCTTTTTTAAAGTGTAGTTACTTTTCATGAAAAATGTCATTTACCTTACCACTGAATAGGTTTACTATTGTCCATCTTTAATGATTGAATCAATATGTTTAAATGCCTCCATTTTAGTTTCTGATATGGCAACTATTATGGATATAAGTCACATAAGCTAAAGCTCTCTGAGGTTCTCATAATTTTTTCAGCTGTGCCAAAGCGTCCTGAGACAGAAACATGTGAGAACCACTGCCACACGCCAAGTTCCCGTTTGCCACTTCACAGGTTAATATTTCACTTACTCTTCACGGGGAGGTCTCACTAATATTACCCCGCTGTCCAGATGAGGAGGCTGAGGCCAGAGAGGTTAAGTCACTCGCCCAAGGTCACACAGCAGGTAAGCAGCAAAGCTGGGGTTAGAACCCAGAAGTCTGGGTGCAGAGGGTCCAGAGTCCAGGGTCTTATTACCCCTTGCGCCTCCACCCCAAGATCAAGGACCAGGGGGTAATTTTGTGACAACACAACAAACAGTTACACAATGAGTAAGGACACCACCAATCCTCCAAGGAGAATCTTACTATAGGCTGAGAACCAGAATCATTTCCCACACAGCCACATACCCCACTGCTTATAATCCCCATTTAACAGATGAGGACAACTGAGGCTCAGGAAGACCCACCAGCCTAGACTCCCTCGGGAATCAGTGCGGAATACCTGAGCCCCCAAACCGACTGGTCCTCACTGGGAAATGCCCGGGGAGAGGTCACAGACACTTACCTGGGTAGGACAAGTGGACTTGCTCCGGGGCAGCGCTGGGAGGCTTTGGGGACCCCTGGACTTCCAGGGAGAAGAAGAGGAGCAGACAGCAGCAGGTCCAGCAGGGACGGAAGGAACACATGGTAGAGGGAAGGTGGGGAGCAGGGGAAGGGGATGGGTCCTGCAGGCATCAGCAGGAGGGGCTGAGAAGATGGGGGAAGGAGGAGGATCCCAGCAGAGGGAGGAAGGCAGCAGGGATGGCAGGGAGGTCTTCACAGGGAGTGCTTGTCCAGACGCTGGAGAGAAAACAAAAGCAAGCATCACTCACGACTGAAAGACAAATACCCTCTGAGCCTCCCTGGGTGCTAAGCACTTTGCATAGATGAACTCGTGGGAGCCCGACAACATTCCTGTGTGTGGTGGCCTCTGTGATCATCAGCCCCGTATCATGGATGAGGAAGTTGAGCAATGGAGTGATTCAATGGCGAGGCTCAAGTGTGAGGGAGCGGAGACTGGAACCCAGGGGTCCTGGCTGCAGAACCCTTGCTCTTATCCACCACTCACTCCCAGTGCAGAGGTTTGGGGATGGGATTGGGGGCGGGGCTCTCAGTGTAGGAGGTTGCCTTTGGCAACCCCATCCCCAGCATTCCACCCTGCCCTCAGAGACCTCACTGTCCTCTCCTCCATCCTGCAACCTTCCATTTCCATCTTTGTGACCCTGATACCTCCACTTCATCCCCAGACCACCCAAGCATTTCATTCCACCTGGAGCAGTCACATCCTCCCTGTGCCCATCTCAGCATCCCATCCTGCCGTTAGTGACCCCAATTTCTCCCTATTTCCGGGCCCTGCGCTTGCATACCCACCCTCCTTCTCCCCAGCCCTTCCCCTCCCGCTCCAGTTCGGATCTCCTGCTTGTGGAGGACCTCCCTGCCAGCGCAGAAGCTGGTGGGGACTGTCAATCCGGGGACCAGGACCTGGGGCTGGGGATTCCCTCCGGTCCCGGCTCACCCTCTGGGACGCCAAGCTCCCAGCACGCGCGCGTCTCGGGGAACCAGTGTGATGGTGGTATTTATGAGCCATCCCACCGCCCACAGCTGTGCCAGCCCCGGAAGAGCCTGCCTTCTCTAGGTGACAGCCTCCCCAGACAGCTGGGGCCCTGCGTCCCACTGGTCTGGCCGGTACCAGGCGCCCCACGCCCACACGCCCCCCACCAAGGGCGGAGCGAAGGAAAGGGGACCCAGGAAGCTTTGGTAAACCACCGCCGCCACCTCCAAGCCAGCCACCAGGTGAGCGCCCGGACTAGTAAGTCTGTGCTCATCCCCAGGAGCCTCACCCCGCAGCTGCGGAGCTCCCAGAGCAGACACTGGTCCCCATCTCCGGCCTTTCCGGATCCCGAGGTATCCAGGTGCGCAGGCACCTTCATCCACGACCTGGGTTGGGGTGGGGAGATTCCCCACCCCTTTCCCTCTTCGCTGGCTTTGTATTCTTGGCAGTTCCTTCCTCCTTCCTCTCTCTCCAAGCTTAGTTCCCCGGCAGCTTCCTTCGCAGCTGCCGCCCCGCCCCCCTCCGCATGCTGAAAACAGAAAATCGAAGTCCACCGACAGACTGCTGCTTCTGAGCTGTGCGACCTTGGCTGGTGACTCAACCTCGCGGGGACCTGGTTTCATCGCCTGTGAAATGAGGGTGATAACAGTATCAACACTATGGGCTATCGTGAGGTTTAAACCAGTTGACACATGAAATTGCATGCTGAGAACAGCACCTGGCCCAGAGTAAGGGCTGGATAACAATCAACTGTTATTTTGATGCTTATTAATGTGTGCGTTCCAGAAATTGCCCTGGGATGTAGGTGGGACCCTGCTTTCCTGGTAGCTCAGACGGTTAAGAATCTACCTGCAATGCAGGAGACCTGGGTTTGATCCCTGTGTGGAGAAGATCCCCTTCAGGAGAGCATGGCAACCCACTCCTGTATTCTTGCCTGGCGAATCCCTTGGACAGAGGAACCTGGTAGGCTACAGTCCAGGGGGGCGGACACGACTAAGCACTAACTAACTAGGTGGGAGACAATGAGACTCCTCTCTGTACAAGGTTTGTGACCTGTTTGAAGGTTGTGAGTGGCTTGCCATGATACCCTTGGGTATTTTCCCAGAGCCTGGCTCAGACAGTAAAGAATCCACCTGCAATGTGGGAGACTTCAGTTTGATCCCTGGAGAAGGGCATGGCTACCCACTCCAGCATTCTTGCCTGGAGAATTCCATGGACAGAGGAGTCTGGAGGGCAGTCTATGGGGTCGCAAACGGCTGAGCGACTTTCATTCATTCATTTTCCCAGAGCAGCAGGGAAAGTCAGAGAGTCCAGGTTTTCTTTGTTTCTTCTCGTCTGCTGACAAAATGACTCCACAATTTGGCTTTGTAAATTCAAGCAGAGATGTGTCTGCAGACTGGGGACACCATTTTCTGAGAACGACACTGGGGGTGTGGTTCAAGATGGATTTTTGCACTGCTTGGATTTTTCTCCACCTCCTGGAGTCTCCATTACTAAAATATTAAAAAAAAAAAAAAAAAAAAANAAAAACAGCCCTTTTAGTCAAACTCAAATAACCTCAAGACCCTGCTCACCCTCAGCAATTGTTTTTGCTTTTAATTTTTTGGCCGCTCAGCAAGACCTGTGTGCCAATAGTTCTCCTATCCAGGGATCAAACCCTCCCCCTCTTCATTTGATGTGTGGAGTCCTATCCAGTAGACCACCAGGGAAATCCTACCCTTAGCAATTTCAACTTCCTCTTCAGTGTGTGTGCTCGGTCGTGTCCGACTCTTTGTGACTCCATGGACTGTAGCCCACCAGGCTTCTCAGTCTGTGGGATTTCCCAGGTGAAGGATACTGGAGCAGTTTGCAATTTCCTCCTCCAGCGGATCTTCCCAACCCAGGGATCAAACCTGCATCTCTTTCATCTCCTGCATTGGCGGATGGGTTCTTTACCACTAGCACCACCTGAAGTATTTTTGCTAAAGTCACCTGTGGTAGGCTGGTGAAGCCCTTCCCCGAATCATGTTTTTACATGCATTAAAAAAAAAAAATACACAAGATACAAAGGAAATGGATGCTATTACACAGATGCAGGAATTTTTTTGTATATGTGATACAGTAATGTATGTACTTCTTTATCAATGCATTAAACTCCAAGGTCCAAAAATTATAGTAATTTAAAAGTTTTGTTGAGTGTATTGATGGTGTTTGAGTCTTGTGACAATTATAAGAGGGACGACTATAATAGGGTGTAAAAACATCTGTAATTTCTTCTCACGACAAAGCCAGAAATCTGCTGTGTCCTGTAGTTGGCCCTTCCAATCCCCCACCATTTTAGAAACACCTGGTAAATTTCAATTACAGCAGCAGTTTGTAGATTACCCTCTTAAAAATTATTGAGGACCCCAAAGAATTTTGTTATATATGGGGTTATATCTATTAATATTTACCATGGAAGAAACCCTGAATATTTATTGGAAGGACTGGTGCTGAAGCTCCAGTATTTGGCCACCTGATGGGAAGAGCTGACTCATTAGAAAAGACCCTGATCCTGGGAAAGATTGAAGGCAGGAGGAGAAGGGGACAACAGAGGATGAGATGGTTGGATGGCATCACTGACTCAGTGGACAGGAACACAATCAAACTTTGGGAGATGGTAAGGGAAAGGGAAGCCTGGCATGCTGCCATCCATGGGGTCGAAAAGAGTTGGACACGACTGAGCGACTGAACAACAACAAGAATGTAAGAAAATAAAACTGAAAATTTTTTCTTTTCTTTCCTTTTTCTTCCTTTTGGCCATGTCTCAAGGATGGTGAGATCTTAGTTTCCCAAGCCAGGCTCTCTATAGTGAAAGCACCCAGTCCTAACCATTGGACCTCCAGGGATTCCCAGAACTAGGAAGTTTTTGAAACTCAAGAATACATATGCATACGTTTGATTAGCCATCACAGTGATGATGTCATTGCAGGTCAGATAGCTTCCAAAGAGTGAAAGGACAAACACATCTTATGAAAATCGCTTTGTTCCCAAACCATATGCTGAGGATCATTGAGTTGAAGGGTTGTCAAAGCAAAGTTGTTTTTCCAGTCCAAGTTCACATGGCCCTTGAATTCCATCACTGAGTCAGGTTAAAAAGCCCCATTGGGGGGTTTCTCTGGCGGCTCAGTGGTGAAGAGTCCGCCTGCCAATGCAGGAGACGTGGGTCCAACCCCTGCTCTGGGAGGATCCCACAGGCCACGGAGCAACTAAGCCAGCGTGCCACAGCTATTGAGCCTGTGCTCTAGAGCCCATAAATCGCAACTCCTGAGCCTACTTGCCCCAACTACGAAAGCCTGTGTACCCTAGAGCCTGTGCTCCACAACATGAGAAGCCCCTGCAATGAGAAACCCACACACCACAACCAAGAGTAGCCCCCACTCGCCACAACCAAAACCCCAAAAAAGAAAGGAAAAAAAAACCACAGGGGACGTCCTTGGTAGTCCAAAGTTTAGGACTCTGCACTTTGACCACTGGGAGTCTCAGGTTCCATCCCTGGTGGGGGAAATAAGATCCCACAAGCCGAGCAGCCAAAAAAGAAAAAAGCCCTACTGGAATTGTACTTTTTGGTCCCTGATGTAGCTGATGAGGGGGTCATAGCTCACTTATGACCCCTTTCCTCTGTCCTGATCATACGCAGGCCTCTTGCCTACTCTCAGGATAGCCACAGAATTATTTCTAGTTTCTTTTTTTAGATACTTTTGTGCTTTTGAGAAATAGACTTCCATTCCGCTACTTCTAATTCTCTCCTTAGAGAGAGTAATCTTGTGGTGGTGAACAGAACATCTACTCTGGGGTGAATTGGCCTGTGTTTAGATCTAGCATTGACCAGCTTAGGGAAATTATTGAATCTCACCGTGCCTCAGTTTCTCCATCTGTTAAACGGCGATACTAATAGTGGCCATCTTAGAGGGTTGTGTGACAATTAAATCAGGTAATAGATATAAACTACTTAGAACAGTGCCCAGCACAGAGCCAGTGCCACATACATCCCTCCCAGTTACGTATTATACCCTAGACTTCCAGTCTGCCCAGTTTGTAAGGTAAGGCTATGACGAACCTACTTTTCCAAGTCATTTTTAATTATTTATCCTTCACC